AATTTTTCGCAAACCATGAAGAATATTCTTTTATTTCAAAATATTCTCTATTATACAGTCTGATGCAAGCTGTATCGATAACAAAAAATGCGTAAAAAACATTAAATTGAAAAGAATGGTCGAAGTCAAATTTCTTCTGCAAATAACCATATAAACTTTAGAGATATTAAATAAAATATATTGGCGAATCAACGCGCGTATTTGCTAGGTAAGTTATAATATACTGTGAACACTATAAGTACACATTATATAAGCATAAACTGTAAGAACATCGTTGGAGTCATTGGCATCACCGCGTGCCGCGCGATCATCAGGTAGGCACACCTTTAACAAAGTGAAAGATGGGTGACCGTGCATAACTGCTTCGGATCCGAAATTATCGAGGGAGGTCGCGAAAGTTTTAGATTGTGTTTAACAATCTTCGGTTCCTAGCAGTTATGACATGAAGAAAATTGATTCAATATTACTGTGCTGTATGGGACATTTTTCTTTATTTTAAATTTCAATGATTTTTTACTGAATTTAATTTAAACTTATTGAAATTTACTGAAATTTCGCTGATTTTCAATGAATATTGAAATTTACGAAGATTTCGCTAATTTTCGATGAATATTGCTAAAATCATAATGAACGTGAGTCAATTGATTGAGTTTTTCAGCCAAATTTCAGCACATTTCATTATGTTTTCAGTAAGTTTCATTATAATTTCAGCAAAATTTTTCCATCAGAGCATTTCTGCCCCGTATCTACTGTTGCTTTCGGACACACGTCATGATCAATTTCTGTTGCGTTTCTGCTGTTACGTTCGAGCGACACGTCGTGATCGATTTTTGCTGCGTTTCTGTCCTCACGTTCGAAAGCATGTCATGATCGACGTCATTTCTGCCGTATTTGTTAGTACATGATGTAACACGTTGTGTGATATATCTTCTATATTTCTATTGTTATACCGTGACAGCAAATCGTGTTCTATTTTTACCGCACTTGTCGCGTCATTCATATAGAAATCAGGCTATGCGTGGAAGGTTCTTAACATTTTTGCAATTATACTATTAGAGCAAATGATGATACATTTCTGCCGGCACATTTTATCGGCAATACGTTAAGAGAAAATTAAGCTTAATGAGGACACAGTTGCTTGAAATCTACTGCATAACCATGATTCAATCTGTCGGCATACTGCTAGCATGCTGCCAGCATTTTGCTTGCTGGGTAAGTTAACTTTTTTTTTAACTAAGTTAAAGTTAATGGCTTTGAAAATTTAACTTTAAGATAAAGTTAAGATAAAGTTAACTCATAATGAAATTAATTGAATTAAAAGTTTAGTTAATAAAAAAAAGTAATTAAAAAGTTAAATTTGTTTCATTTTATGATTTCAGGGTTTTAGTTTTACAAATAATGGAAAAAATAAATATAGACCTTATTTGGAAACCTGTTTCATTTACAGATACTTATTAAATTTAAGTAATAAATTTTTTTAGAAATTTTCATCGGACATTCTTCCTCGAAGATTGTCGAAAATGAACCCTTCTACACTAAACAGCTTTTCGACGTCTCGCGACACCTTTATGGTTAACTTCGAGATAATCGAACTAAAAGTTAATAATTACCGATAAAATGTAACTAAGTTAAAGGTTAACAGTCTAAAAATGTAACTAAGTTAAGTTATAAAGCTATTTAACTTTTTAACTAGTTATTACCCAACCCTGTTAATAATCAGTAAAAGAGATGATGTTAATGTAAAGAGATGATATTAATGTGTTAAACTAAATTATATATTTCGATTTGAACATAAGATATACCACTACATATTAAGGCTTTATTTCGATATTCACTACTAATATTGAAAATCTATAGTATGTATATGTAACACAAGGTTGTCAAGTATGGTGCAATTGCGCCTATGTGGCTCTTTGACTCAGGTAGAATAGATAGTCTAAATAATGTCAATCTGATGTCATTTTGACCAAATTTACGTCATTTTTTGTTGAAAATGACGTCAGAAGGATATTATGTTGACTATCTGTTCTACCTGGGATTAGTTGATTATACTAAAATTGGCTGTGTTCAGAATGTATTGCTAAACTCTACAGTTCATATCATGTATAATATAGATTTTCAGTAACTGATTTTCAGTTTACTGGGACCTTATTCCGACAATTGTCGATAAGTGGTTACGGAATAGGGACCCTGGCATAAAACTTCAAACGCAGCCATTGTGTAAATACTCACTTTAAACAAAAAAGTACAATATTTTCAAAATGAATAAGGAACTATAACAACTTATTTTTTAATCATTATTATCCTAACTTTGATATCAAATGGAAGTCATTTTAATATTATTGTGATTTTCTGTTTTAGTACACAGTTTCACTCTAAAAACAAATATCCAGAGTGCATTTAGAAACGTCCTTGGAATGTCCTATGGACGTTCTATGTCCTCATGACGTACTATTTCTTATGCTGTTAGAAAAGAATCACTATAAAATCATTCCGAAGTCAAGAATTTATCATATATTCATCAAAAAAACTACATCAAATGACATCATGATGACATTCTTTGAAATGATTTTCATGTGATGTCATAGTGATATTTTTATAAGTTTGTGTTCTACTTGGGCGGACGCGAACTCGAGGATCTCACAACACCTCCAAGTTCCTAGTCTACCACCTTGCCTACTGCGCTATTTCTTCAACTCATACTAACCCTAATAGCACGGGGACGTTCTGAGGACGTTTTGAGTAAATCGCAATGCGTATATTGCGATCATCTCAGAATGTTCTCATATGTACTGCGATCGACTGAATACGTTCTGCGTACGTCCCTATGTTTGGGGTAGCAGCTACTATAGAATTTCGCTGCGAATGTCGTGCGAACGTTCGCAGCGATGTCAGCAGTCTCAGGACGGAACGAAAACGGAAAGGTTTAGTACATCACGTATAGACGCACACACACATGTGCAGCTAGGCGCGCGCGCTCATATATAGGTTAGGTTAGGTTAATAATTGGATATTTTTATTTCATTATAAATTCGTTTTTATTAATATAAATTCTTTTACAAATGAATAATATACTCTTTTATTGAGATTATTTATAACAGACTTTTATAAACACAAATAACCTAATTGATTGCGATTCATCGCCTCCGCGACGTTCTCGGCCGTCGGTGAGCGACGCTTTCAACTACTTGGAGTTGATGGGAGCCAGCGATAGCAGAGAATCTTACACTAGGAACCTTTACTGCTAATGGCATTCTCACCTAAAACCAATAAGCAAATGCTATGCGGCTTTGCAACCTAGGATAACCTCAAACTCTTTATCAGAATATTTGTATGAAAATTTCTACGAAATATTAAGAAATATTATGTAATTTATATATAAAAATTGTTTTGCTAACTTTATTTAATATTTTATGGAATTAAAATTAAGGAAGAAAAAGGATTACCTTTGATATTAATTAGATCGATCAATCGATCTGCCTCGTCACTGCTCGTCACCACATTAATGGACGGTACCCACGCTACTCGGCTACCGGAAAAAAATCGAAACAGGAATGACGTATTAGATGGCGTTGGTATACGTACCGTTTCCATACCTTGAGTCGGTACCTGAGAAATACGCGTGCGATACAAATGCGTACGTATCATTTCAGTCAAACCTGAGAATGTACGCATGCGATAGAAAAGCGTACGTATCATTTCCGTATCTCTGAGTGAAATCTGAGAACATTCGCGCACGAAAGAAAACCGAATGATACTATAAGTGACGTTCTAGCGTTCTAACTTAGTACGTCACAGATGATCACAGTACAATGAGTATGAAAATTGGATGATACGCACTACGTCGCATGCTGTTAGGGAAATGTGTTTTATTATCCCCATATGCCGAAGCACTACCCAAATAGCATTTCGATATTCTGAGAATGTTCTAAGGATATCTGACCGGGAAATTAATAATATTCTTAAAATATTCGAAAAATATCCTGGGATATACTCAGTATATTCTGGGAATGACCAAATGTCCGCTACTTTTTGGTCCTGAGTATATACTAACGATATTCGAAAAACATCCTAGGCATATCTGAAGAATATCCTAGGCATATTTAGAATAGGCATAGAGAATATTGTAAATATATACGGAGAATATACTTAATATATGCGAAGAATATGCTTAGTATATGCGGAGAATATGCTTAGCATATGCAGTGGATATCTTTAGCATATTCAGAGAATATTCTGAAAATATGAGTTAAATTAAATTAGGTCACAGTGTATTTTATATAGAATGTTCTGTTAGAAGAATATCTTTATATTATTAGAAAATAACTTTTTAACATATATATAGTGCACATTCTATATAAAATATACTGTACCTAATCCTAATCTAATCTAATCCATAGATGCTCAGAATATTTTCCTAATATGCTTCTATAGTAAAATATTTTGATATTATTAAAACATCTCTAGTGCATATAACATGCATATTCTGTAAGACATACGCTGCGCAAGTGTGTGTGTGTGTGTGTGTGTGTGTGCACTTTCAATATCAACAGATTTTTACATTCATATACCAATTTATTACGCATCTAAGAATAAATAATTACAGTATATTTTTCTATTGACTTAATGCAAACATTAAATAAAGTTTAACAATCGTTATACACACTAACATTGACCATCAACATAGTTTTTCTGTTAATATTAGAACAAAATTAAAGTTATGTATGAATTCATATTATGTATATACTTTTAGCCAAAGAATTAATTTTCTTTAAATAAAATAAATAAAATTTGTCTACAGAATATTTCCATTTTTACTTTAAAACTAAAAAATATATTTTTTTGGTTAAAATATTTAATAGCAGATATATTTATATTATTTTTCAACAAGTATTGCATTTTTTTATTGCAATAGCCTTAAAAAGTACTCCAACAAATTAAATAAAATATTATATAGAGCAAACATTCTTTTCATTTTTCTCTTTTAAAATTAAACAAAATTCGGCAAACAAGTCATATTATCCAAGGTCCAAATGAATAAATAATAATACGTCTAAAATTGTTGTTATAAAACGATAAAAACAAATTATCATAATGAGGAAATTAATGCCGCAACTAAACGTTTTTGAGAAAATGTAAAAAAAAGTAAGTAAATTAAATGTCGTTTAAAAATAAATTATACTTGTATGATTTCAACTCTAAAAAGATGATAGTTTTTAATTTTTAATTTGTTTTTTTTTTTTATTTTTTGTACGATAAGCGCGTTCTTTGACGTGCGCTAGCCAAGTTTTTATTGGTGCAGCAATGTCATCCTCGGTTGCACCTGTATATCGTTTGCTGACCACATCTGAAAATTATATATTTTTTTAATAGACCGTATTAAAAGAATGATTATTTAAACAATGATATGCAGGGATTTTTGTCCAGAATAATTATGCATAATTATATGATAGAAATTATGCATAATTATATATACAAATACTAGACATTATTTTTATCTAGATTGTATGTTTATATTTTATTATTCATATATTTTATTATTCATATTTTATTATTCTGGGCCAAAATCGATATTTGTATATTTAGGCAAAATTTTTTTTATCGGGTACTACAAAAGTAGGAAACTCACATAGAATTACTTTACAAATACGCAAGTCTGAGAAAACTTCTTTCTTTTTGCTACCAACCCAACTAAATTGATTTGCCAAGTCGTCAGAAAACAATTTACGCATTAACTGTAAAGACATATTTTTTTAAGGTCTTCCCACCGATTTGCTGAAGCTCTTTTATAGCTTGATTTCTGTATTCCTTGTTTGTCAAGTTCTCCTCCAATTCCCGTAAATCGCCATCAGTAGTCTTGAGAGGGAGATTTATCAGTACATTCTTTTTCTCCTCCTCTAATTGATCATTTTCAAATTTCCGATTCAATGCTGCAAATGATTCCTTCTTAATTGCTTTCACTTCTCTTTGCAAATTCTGTATATCAAATTTTATGTTAGTTAATGTTCTCATGACGAAGCGTTGAAACACGTTTAAACCTATAATAATTAAAAAGAAATACATTAAAAATTGTTTCTTCAATACAAAGAAAAGATGCATTTTGATGAAATATAAATTAGCTTATACTTTGATCATTAGATGTACGACTTAGTGAATCTATCGAAGCAGATGCATTTCCTTTTTGATGTTCGAATTCGCGAAAATCAAAAATAATACTATCATTAATATTCAAAGCTGGTTCTGACGTAATTACATTCGTAGCTTGCTTTACAGCTGCATGAGAATTAATGTGGCATACAGCGGTATCAGAATTATTGCTATTTTTGTTTCCTGCAAATTCCGTATTTTTTCTCGTATATTTATTCTGTAATGCATCCTGCAAATTAATACTTCCGATTTTGGATGCATAATTTGGTTTATTCGGCAATTCTATTGGGAGTGTGAATAAGTTCTCGCCGTTTCACCATCAGATGGCGGTATAAAAATTTTGTGTATATAATTCAAGATGATGACGCATCTAAATTGAAGTTCTATAACCTATGTTTAAAATCAGTGCGTGTCTTTCCATTAATCTATAAAGAACATTTTCTTTTCGTAGCGTAAAATATGTCAAATTTCGTGCCAAATAAACCGTTTTTGCGGGGACTTTTACTGCACTACTTTATTCAGAAGAAATCTGCAGCTGAAGCACACAGAATTCTTGTAGAATCTTGTAGATCTTGTAGATCACCTATAGTGATCATGCTCTGTCGGAAAGAACATGCAGAGATTGGTTTAACCGATTTAAAAATAGTGATTTTGATGTTCAAGATAGAGAACGCAGTGGTGCACCAAAAAAGTTTCAAGACGAAGAATTGGAAATATTACTTGCTGAAGATCCATGTCAGACGCAATCCGATGTTGCAAAATCACTAGGAGTTGATCGAACAACAGTTTCAAAACGTCTGACAGCATTAGGAATGATACAAAAGGAAGAATCTTGGGTGCCATACGAACTGAAGCCGAGAGACGTCGAACAGCGTCTTGTCACGTGTGAACAGCTGCTTCAACGACAAAAAAGGAAAGGTTTCTTACATCGTATTGTGATTGGTGATGAAAAGTGGATATACTACAGTAATCCCAAGCGTAAAAACTTGTGGGTTAAGCCCGACGAAGCAGTAGCATCAACGCCAAAGCGGAATATCCACGGTCCCAAGCTCATGCTCTGCATTTGGTGGGATCAGCTGGGGGTAGTGTATTACGAGCTGCTCCAACCCAACCAAATCATCACAGGAGATCTCTATCGACGACAATTGATGCATCTGAGCCGAGCATTGAAAGAAAAACGGCCGCAATATGCGCAAAGACACGATAAGGTAATTTTGCTGCATGATAACGCTCGGCCGCATGTCGCGTCACCGGTCAAAACATACCTGGAA